ACAGGTGTGGCCTTGTTACTAATCACTCTTAAACACAAATCCTAGTGATCCCAGAAACACCTTATCCGACCATCCTCAGACTATGCGGGCAGCGGGCCTCGATCACAATTACTTATGAGTTCGTGACTCACGGACTTATATGAAGTTCACCTCCTATCCACCTAGTCCAGAGGGCGGTGTACGTATTCTCTCACTATAGCTGCTCCGTGCCTGGCGAGCTTTTTGACCTCCTCGTCCCCATATGTATCGATCATCGCGTCTTGGCGCCACCGCGATATTCCTTTGATAATTGGCCTTGGTGCATCGGCACGCAAGTGATATGCTGTCCCACTTCTTTGGCAGGAATGACCAGAAAATTTCAGAGACTGCATAAGGTCCACCTCGCCAATAGAGTCCGGTAGAAACTGGGCCAAGCTTTCAACTTCCGCCGTAGACTTCTTATAGATTTTGTGAAAGATTCTGAGTGGCCTGGCCGTCGCGTCTCAGAGGCTAATCATAGTGTGGCAGCAGCACCATTTCCCCCTTTGTTCGCACACATCCTTCGAAGCATTACACGAGGTCTCCACGTACTCAATCTTGTTGACTTTGGTGATACCGAGGTGTATTCTAATATGAGTCCCAGGGACCCCAGGTAGTGTCTCAGTGATATCCTGGCTTCTTACGCGCAGCAACTCGCCGGACCTTAAGCTCGGTGATATCCCGCTGAGGAGAGCTAATCGTACAAGGCTTTTCTCTGGTTTGTCCTTGATTCAAGGACCTTGAACTGTGCCTCAGGACAGTCAAATAGGAACTCAACTGCACTCTCGGGCATTATGGCAGCGAGCTTGGCATCCCGCTGGGGCCTTATACCGTATAAGTTATACGAGAAACAGCCTGCATGGCTTGCTTAATAAGCGTTTCATCCGCGGCCTCCATGGTGCTAAAGCCTTCCAGCTTCTGCAAAGTCCTTAGGGCTTTGATTCGCTTCTGTACCGAGGTGGAATTCAGCTCAGTTACATCCAACAGGCATCTGATGTATCGGATAACTTTACCAGCGGACAATCCCATTTCATAGACCTCTCTTCTTGCCCTTTCGTAGCCTCTTCTTGTGTCCTCACTTATCGAAAGCCCTAGTAGCTCCAGATTCTGAGCAGTAGCCTCAGCTGAACCGTGTGCAGGCTGAATCTCGTTCCACTTCGTGAAGGCGGAGTTTTCTGACATAAGGAATGTAGCGGTCCAGCGATGACGGACAAATCTGGCAATCCCAGAACTCAGAATCCCTTTAGTTGGGCCCACTCAAATTGACAGGAACTCAGTCGGGTCCGCAAACGAGAAACCGAGCACTATGAACCCACGTTAGTCGTGAGTCACAACTTCTGACAAAGGTGATGTCTTACAGACTTGAAGAGGAGTGAACGCCACAGCTTTTTTTAAGGACTTAACGTGGCACCTGCCGCCACGACCTCGGCATTTGACCGGTGGATACCAACGAAGCACGAGTTAACCTAGAGATATCATCAGCTATGCTGTTCAAGGTCCCGGCAATATGATGAACATTGAGTCGGTAACGGAAGTCGCCGAATTTCCGAACGACGGAAGCAAGGCTCATAGAGCGCGACCTGAAGCTTCTTAGTACTGACACCGTACAAGTGTTGTCAGAGAAGCATCTGATATAAGTCACCCACGGAGTACATATTGCCCGGATGTACTCGCAGCCGTAACAGACTGCGAGTAGTTCGAGGAAATTACAATCACCGCTGACGAACTTCACTGGTTCCAGCTCGGCAGGAAGTTGATCATCGAGCCGATTCCTGCGCTCATACCAAATCTGCCTCCAAATCTCGGGATTTTCCTCCATATTTATCGAAAACTATCGTAGATTCCGAGTATCGCATCGTGGAAAGAAGTCCCTACCCAGACCGCATCCAGAGGCATTGGTCACCAATAGATATTCATCCTTGTAGTCAATGTATGGATTACGTTTGTTGTGACTGTGAGTGAAGGTCTCGGCGGACTTATGTAGCTCTAGGCGCCTGGTTGGTGATGTTCTGACGCTCCGAAGAGACGGTCGCTGGCTCAGGACCATCAGTACTTCATAGAGCTTATCCAATTTGGGCCGTATT